GGAGATGCGCCCTTAAGAGCCATGAGTTGAATTTATGCCCCATACCCCCCCCCCCCTAGCCTCTTCTCAAGTGCTGTCCCCTCAAGTCTTCCGGGACTCTCTTATTTCTCGTTTTCTCTTTCTATAAAGCACAAGTTTGTGGTGAAAAGATTGCGAAAATCTTAGTGTTACGTAAAGATTTTTGGAGTAACTTCGGTAGAGTTGCTCTTAACAACCTCCTCTGCGTATATAGCGGTGTCATATTGTCTAGGATAAGAAGCATGTTAGAAGCATCGCACAAAAGAAAAGTGATCTAGATTACATATAACATGATTCAACATTCGTGATATTATATATATATTATATATATATATATATATATATATATATATATATATATATATATATATATATATATATATATATATATATATATATATGTCGTACCTAGTAGCCAGAACTCACTTCTCAGCCTACTATTCAAGGCCCGATTTGCTAATAAGCCAAGTTTTCCTGAATTAATATATTTACTATAATTTTTTTTCTTATGAAATGATAAAGCACCCTTTTCTCTATGTATGAGGTCAATTTTTTTTTATTGGAGTTAAAATTAACGTAGATATATGACCGAACCTAACCAACCCTACCTAACCTAACCTAACCTATATTTATAGGTAGGTTAGGTTAGGTAGCCAAAAAAAGCTAGGTTAGGTTAGGTTAGGTAGGTTAGGTAGACGAAAAAACATTAATTCATGAAAACTTGGCTTATTAGGCAAATCGGGCCTTGAATAGTAGGCTGAGAAGTGCGTTCTGGCTATTAGGTACGACATATATATATATATATATATATATATATATATATATATATATATAATATATATATCAGATAATGTTAGGTGTAGTGCAAAATGCAAGATTAAGTTAATTATACAGTAAGTGAAGCATAAATATTTTTGCTTAACACTCAGTAATATAGTGCTTAAATCAGTGGTTTAATAACAGAGTTACAGGACTCAACAGTCTTATAGAGGTTCAGCTTCAGTAACTTGCTAGATGTAACTAAGACGAGAGCATGATTCAGGCTTCATCACACTGCCAGGTCCTATTATTGTGTTACCCATATAGAGTCCTATTATTGTGTTACCCATATAGAGTCCTATTATTGTGTTACCCATATAGAGTCCTATTATTGTGTTACCCATATAGAGTCCTATTATTGTGTTACCCATATAGAGTCCTATTATTGTGTTACCCATATAGAGTCCTATTATTGTGTTACCCATATAGAGTCCTATTATTGTGTTACCCATATAGAGTCCTATTATTGTGCTGCCCATATAGAGTCCTATTATTGTGTTGCCCATATAGAGTCCTATTATTGTGTTACCCATATAGAGTCCTATTATTGTGTTACCCATATAGAGTCCTATTATTGTGTTACCCATATAGAGTCCTATTATTGTGTTACCCATATAGAGTCCTATTATTGTGTTGCCTATATAGAGTCCTATTATTGTGTTGCCCATATAGAGTCCTATTATTGTGTTACCATATAGAGTCCTATTATTGTGTTACCCATATAGAGTCCTATTATTGTGTTACCCATATAGAGTCCTATTATTGTGTTACCCATATAGAGTCCTACTATTGTGCTGCCCATATAGAGTCCTATTATTGTGTTACCCATATAGAGTCCTATTATTGTGTTACCCATATAGAGTCCTATTATTGTGCTGCCCATACAGAGTCCTATTATTGTGTTACCCATACAGAGTCCTATTATTGTGTTACCCATATAGAGTCCTATTATTGTGTTACCCATACAGAGTCCTATTATTGTGCTGCCCATACAGAGTCCTATTATTGTGCTGCCCATACAGAGTCCTATTATTGTGCTGCCCATATAGAGTCCTATTATTGTGCTGCCCATACAGAGTCCTATTTTTGTGCTGCCCATACAGAGTCCTATTATTGTGCTGCCCATACAGAGTCCTATTTTTGTGCTGCCCATATAGAGGCCTATTTTTGTGCTGCCTATATAGAGTCCTATTATTGTGCTGCCCATATAGAGTCCTATTTTTGTGCTGCCCATACAGAGGCCTATTATTGTGCTGCCCATATAGAGTCCTATTTTTGTGCTGCCTATATAGAGTCCTATTATTGTGCTGCCCACATAGAGTCCTATTATTGTGCTGCCCACATAGAGTCCTATTATTGTGCTGCCCATATAGAGTCCTATTATTGTGCTGCCCATATAGAGTCCTATTATTGTGCTGCCCATATAGAGTCCTATTATTGTGCTGCCCATATAGAGTCCTATTATTGTGCTGCCCATATAGAGTCCTATTATTGTGCTGCCCATATAGAGTCCTATTATTGTGCTGCCCATATAGAGTCCTATTATTGTGCTGCCCATATAGAGTCCTATTATTGTGTTACCCATATAGAGTCCTATTATTGTGTTACCCATATAGAGTCCTATTATTGTGCTGCCCATATAGAGTCCTATTATTGTGTTACCCATATAGAGTCCTATTATTGTGTTACCCATATAGAGTCCTATTATTGTGTTACCCATATAGAGTCCTATTATTGTGCTGCCCATATAGAGTCCTATTATTGTGCTGCCCATATAGAGTCCTATTATTGTGTTACCCATATAGAGTCCTATTATTGTGTTACCCATATAGAGTCCTATTATTGTGTTACCCATATAGAGTCCTATTATTGTGTTACCCATATAGAGTCCTATTATTGTGTTACCCATATAGAGTCCTATTATTGTGTTACCCATATAGAGTCCTATTATTGTGTTACCCATATAGAGTCCTATTATTGTGTTACCCATATAGAGTCCTATTATTGTGCTGCCCATATAGAATCCTATTATTGTGTTACCCATATAGAGTCCTATTATTGTGTTACCCATATAGAGTCCTATTATTGTGTTACCCATATAGAGTCCTATTATTGTGTTACCCATATAGAGTCCTATTATTGTGTTACCCATATAGAGTCCTATTATTGTGTTACCCATATAGAGGCCTATTATTGTGTTACCCATATAGAGTCCTATTATTGTGTTACCCATATAGAGTCCTATTATTGTGTTGCCTATATAGAGGCCTATTATTGTGCTGCCCATATAGAGTCCTATTATTGTGCTGCCCACATAGAAAGTTGTCTTATATTTTAATGGTGCAGCTTTCAGGTCGTAGAGGAAATATTTCTTCTTATAAATCCGAGCTTATCCTATTAATTTTCAGAGTTATAATTGTACTGTACTGGACGCCAGATGTATGTGTTTCCATTCTGTCAAGACTCACTGTCCTTCACTCTACAAATAATGTTCTCAATCTCCAACAATAGACTTTTTCTTTGACAAAAATTGCATTACGTCTAATTATTACATGGTGCTTCAAACACTGATTGTGACGGAGTCACAAAGATTGGAGTGCAAAGATTTAAAGATTGGAGTGCAGATTTGCAATGAAAATTTTCACTTCACCGCCGTTTTTTTATTAATGTTCTTAGTGGCGATATTAGTTTCCAGCAGCTCAGTTTGTGTTCCTTGCCCAATCGTTCAATTTTTTTAGCATGCTCGATATTATTAGTTCACATTCTTTATATATACCAAAGACACTACTTGTTCTTCCTGTTATCTCAGTAAAGTAAGGACATTCACTTCATTTCTAGTTGTTAAGTGAACTGTAAAAAGTCTTTGTAGTGTTCTACATCTCCAATTATCAGTTCTATATATTCCTATATATATTTGTAACTCCAAAAGATTTGTAATTCCTATATATTTGTAGCCTAAAGGCTATGTGTGTTAATGACTGCAAAATGATACCTTTTTAAACACCATAATCGGTACTGACACAGCCAATTATACATTCTATCATATATAAAGATATACAAATATAATCAAAATACCTAAATATTGGCTTAGATGTTGGCGGCTTGTGACAGGTGCACTTCTCTCCTGGACAGTTGTGCGGCAGTACTACGAGGTGCAGGTCTACGACGAGTTCGTCATCAGCGGGAACACGGCGGTCATCAAGTGTCACGTGCCCTCCTTCGTCAGGGACTACGTCAGCGTCACCTCTTGGGTCAGGGGCAACGGCGAGCGTATTGTCTCTGATGTTCTCACAGGTGCGTCATGTCTCTCTCTCTCTCTCTGTCTCTCTCTCTCTCTCTCTCTCTCTCTCTCTCTCTCTGTCTCTCTCTCTCTCTCTCTCTCTCTCTCTCTCTCTCTCTCTCTCTCTCTCTCTCTCTCTCTCTCTCTCTCTCTCTCTCTCTCTCTCTCTCTCTCTCTCTCTGTATCTCTCTCTCTCTCTCTCTCTCTCTCTCTCTCTCTCTCTCTCTCTCTCTCTCTCTCTCTCTCTCTCTCTCTCTCTCTCTCTCTCTCTCTGTATCTCTCTCTCTCTCTCTCTCTCTCTCTCTCTCTCTCTCTCTCTCTCTCTCTCTCTCTCTCTCTCTCACATTATCAGTTTTCCCATGTACTCGCCAAAGACTTTCCTTAACGACGGCGCAGATAATCCCATTTCTAAGCAAAGGGTGAGTGGATATTCTGTGAGAAAATACTTCTAGTCGACTAACAAAGACGCGGGCACGCCAACTCCTGCAGATGAGAGATAACCAGTGAAGTTTTGTCCCTATCATGGCGGCTTTGTTTACTCGGCCCGTCCCACACTCCTTCCTTGGGAAGTTTGGCCGCCACTGGTGGCACGCTGAGATGCTCTCAATCTGCAACGTATGTGCTCTCTTCCAGATTATGGGGGGGAGGGGAAGAGTGTCGATGAAGGAATAGGTAGTGGGGGGAAGGGGAGGGGAGTTGATGAAGAAGAGAACGTTGTCCTGGTGAGGGAGAGTGGACAAGGGGGAGAGGAACGCTGTCACGGTGGCAACAAATTGGGGGGAAGAGGATGCATTGACCTACTGAGGTACGTCTGCATTTGTGCAGCCATCCTAGACTATGTGAAGTCTAGGATACCACAGTACAGTGTGTCAGTGAAGTTCACCACAGTACAGTGTGTCAAAAGGCTAGCTACGTGATGCTAAGAAATTGCCATCACACAGGATGGTTAGTCATACAGAGGCACGTGATAAGTAGTCTGCACTGGCAGACTCTGAGTGCATTATGAGGATATATCATCAACACAAGAGTGAGTAAGGCAGCAGTAATACTAAAAGTCCCCATCTCGCAGGATGGTTAGTCATACAGGGACATATGTTCAGTAGCCTGCACTGGCAAATTTTGGGTGCAATATGAGGATATCTTCAAGAACACGAGAGTGAATAAAGTAATTACAAAGCTCTAGGTATCTCACGCCAACTGGTCTGAAAGATCTAGTGTTGGGGATTTGTGAGCAGTTCCTGCTCACAGAGTTTGCACCTGAAGTGCTCAGGATTGGGAGATCCGTCACCGGTAGCCCTTGGGTAAACAGGTCCACATAAAACAGTGACAGAAACCTGGCTGAGAAGAGCTACTCTGTTGTGCGACCAGCAGAGCGTGTTGGATACACTGCACCAACTCCATCACAGATGCGTCATGTTGAAAGAAGCGCGGCAGTTTACAGATGTTCTTGATGATTTTAACGCAGCAGTTTACAGATGTTCTGGATGACTTTAGCGCAGCAGTTTACAGATGTTCTGGATGACTTTAGCGCAGCAGTTTACAGAGGTTCTGGATGACTTTAGCGCAGCAGTTTACAGATGTTCTTGATGACTTTAGCGCAGCAGTTTACAGATGTTCTTGATGACTTTAGCACAGCAGTTTACAGATGTTCTTGATGACTTTAGCACAGCAGTTTACAGATGTTCTTGATGACTTTAGCGCAGCAGTTTACAGATGTTCTTGATGACTTTAGCACAGCAGTTTACAGATGTTCTTGATGACTTTAGCACAGCAGTTTACAGATGTTCTGGATGACTTTAGCGCAGCAGTTTACAGATGTTCTTGATGACTTTAGCACAGCAGTTTACAGATGTTCTGGATGACTTTAGCGCAGCAGTTTACAGATGTTCTTGATGACTTTAGCGCAGCAGTTTACAGATGTTCTGGATGACTTTAGCGCAGCAGTTTACAGATGTTCTGGATGACTTTAGCGCAGCAGTTTACAGATGTTTTTGATGACTTTAGCGCAGCAGTTTACAGATGTTCTGGATGACTTTAGCGCAGCAGTTTACAGATGTTTTTGATGATTATAGCGCAGCAGTTTACAGAGGTTCTGGATGACTTTAGCGCAGCAGTTTACAGATGTTCTTGATGACTTTAGCACAGCAGTTTACAGATGTTCTTGATGACTTTAGCACAGCAGTTTACAGATGTTCTGGATGACTTTAGCGCAGCAGTTTACAGATGTTCTTGATGATTTTAGCACAGCAGTTTACAGATGTTCTTGATGACTTTAGCACAGCAGTTTACAGATGTTCTTGATGACTTTAGCGCAGCAGTTTACAGATGTTCTTGATGACTTTAGCACAGCAGTTTACAGATGTTCTTGATGACTTTAGCACAGCAGTTTACAGATGTTCTGGATGACTTTAGCGCAGCAGTTTACAGATGTTCTTGATGACTTTAGCACAGCAGTTTACAGATGTTCTGGATGACTTTAGCGCAGCAGTTTACAGATGTTCTTGATGACTTTAGCACAGCAGTTTACAGATGTTCTTGATGACTTTAGCACAGCAGTTTACAGATGTTCTTGATGACTTTAGCGCAGCAGTTTACAGATGTTCTTGATGACTTTAGCGCAGCAGTTTACAGATGTTCTTGATGACTTTAGCACAGCAGTTTACAGATGTTCTTGGTGACTTTAGCGCAGCAGTTTACAGATGTTCTTGATGACTTTAGCGCAGCAGTTTACAGACGCCATTGACGGCCTCAATTACTGACTGCCGGCAGTTTACGAATGCCACTGAGATTCTGAACAACGTTGAAGAAAGACTGAACAACGTAACAGAAAAACTGAATAACGTACCACAAAGACTGAACTCCATATTAGAAGAATTGAACAACGTAGTAGATAGACCGAACAACGTTGCAAGAGGACTGAGCACTAGTGAAAGTAAAGAATGATTCTGATCAATTCCCAAGTCAATCCCCTAACTTGGGAATTTATAAAAAAAAAACAGTTCATAGGTAGTGAGGCTGACGTGAGAGGGTCGTGTCAAGATCTCTGTCACCAGAACTATTCGTATACTTTGCCACACTATATCATGAATGATATTATATATCATTATATCATATAATGAGTACTGTTAAGTAAATGCGGCTGGAAACGCGTGATTGTCAAACATGTTCACCAAACCTCATCATCTGCAAACATTCTATAATTAAAACTAATTCAAAATATAACTGCATTCACTGTGCTAAATAGGCCTAATCCCATGCATAAAGCAAATGAGCTTGTTGATGCTTGGGCCACAACTTCCAGCTTTGACAGTCTTCCTCTGCCCTCACAGAATGAATTAAATAATAGATATGTTGATAGAGCAAGGCTCCTTGACTTCATGCTTCATCAAGAAGATGACTGTGACATGCTTTTTACTGAATACGAACTAGACTCTGCTCTACATAAAGGCAAAGCTACATCACCCGGGGAGGATGGAGTTACTTACGGCATACTGCGTATGTTTCGGCTAGTTCCAGGGGAATCCCTTGTTTTAAGTGTATAATATGAGCTATGTAACTGGGGAGCTTCCACAGTTATGGACCAACAGCCTTATTATTCCCATTCCTAAACCTACCAAGCAGAGTGCTTTTCGCCCAATCTCCCTCACTAGTTGTCTCTGTAAGTGTCTTGAGAGGATGGTTCTCAACCGTCTCCTTTACAAAATTAGTAACTTGTTGTCTCCCCAGATATATGGCTTCATGCATGGAAAAGAGTGTACATCACTGTATTACCACATTCCTCACCCTGCATACTGATAGGTCATATACAACTTTGCTTGATCTTAGGTCAGCCTTTGACATTGCTAACCCACACGTCATTCTGAGTGAACTTGCTAAAATGAATGTTGGAGGATGGCTTCTACGGTGGATAAGAGGCTATCTATCCAACAGGAAGTCATCTGTACTGTTCCAAGGGCATAGGAGTGTGACGAGAGATTTTGAACGTGGCACTCCACAGGGAGGTGTCCTCAGTCCTGCTCTATTCAATGTGTTAATCAGTGCCCTTCTAAACCCAGTAACTAGGAGGCCCAGCGAACACATCATTAGCTATACAGATGATATACTGATACACCAGTAGGTATACCAACACCCAAAATGTTCTGAACTCTGTATTGCACACGTGTCAGGAAATAGGCTTAGTAAACTCATTAGAGAAAACAAAGATCCTGAACCGACGCCCACCCAGACGAGGTGGGGCCGTTCGCAAGATGCAACTGCATGATGGCTCTCTGCTCGACTATGTAACCAGGTACAAATACCTTGGTCTTGAGATTCCACTGTACCGCAATGTTGTAGCCAGACTGGGTCGTCAGTGTAGAGAGAGGCTCCGTGCTCTCAAGGCTGTGGTAGGCTACCATCCAAGCTATGGCGCAAATATGAGAATGGCAAAATATTTGATCCCTGATTGATTATGCTGCACCCATGCTTGCTCTAGTGCCTGAGAGAATGATTGGGGGGGGGGCTGGAAAAGATGCAAAACGAAGCCATGAGGATTATCCTCGGATGCCCCCGTACAACTAAATTACTAAGCATGACGAAGGAACTGAATATTTCATGTGTAAGTGATCGTATCACTGAAATTAATGCTTTAATTGGTATCAAGATGCTTAGGTTAACCCACCCTAACGCCTACACCGAAGCCCTCCAAGCCTTCTTTCTTGAAGGTCAGCATCCCTCCAAATGGATTACCAAAACTACCACTGTGCTTAGAATGTATAATATTCATCACCTCTACCAAGAGAGACAATAACGAAACTTTCCTGCCCCATGGGAGATCACCCCTTTCCAAATTACTGTCCCCCCTTTCCCACCTAAGAAGCTGATTTAAGAACAAGCCTTGCTTCGACAAGAAGCAAAGTACAATGCCTTAAGCCAAATTGATGCTTTGGTCAGAGAGCGCTTCCTTTCCCAGATTATTTACACTGATGGATCCTTGCATCAGTCCCATGGTGCAGCTGGAAGTGCAGTTGTTGTGACAGCGAGAGATGGTTCCTTCTCCCATGAGTGTGGAGCGCGTCTCAGTAACTGGGCCTCCACTCTTCAAACAGAATTGGTTGCCATAATCCTTGCACTCGAGCGCGTATATGAATCCAAAGATGACACCCTAATTGTAAGTAACTCCATGTCATCCTTGACTGCCCTCAGCTCCCCAAGGCATAGCTGTGATGTGCTTATCTCTGAAGCTAGACACAGATATAATGAAATAATCAATGATGGAGTCAGAGTTTGTCTCCTGTGGATTCCTTCCCATATTGGTCTCCGAATGCATGATGAAACTGATGAGTTGGCCAAGACTTTTTGTTCATAAAGAGGGAATTGATTACCAACTTGGACTGCCTTTGAGCAGCCTGAGGGCAGTAATATTCCGGGAACATCAACAAAATCTCGTAGACTTGAGGCAAAGTGAAATTCACACCAGTTCCTCCATCTTCGCATACTTTGTGTTATTATATAATGGAATGTGAAAAAATCGCGTAATTCAGAGATAACACCATAAATGTAATCCAAGAAATGTATAAGTACTTCCTTCATAATGATGAACTGCCGGGAATCTTAGTGAAGTATCCAGAATTTGCTTACTGTAGATAATTCATGTACATGACTGTAAAGCTGCCGCCCAGTTGGGTGGGTGTGGTGCAAGACTAGTAACTGTGTGACTCACCATAGATGTAAAGTGCCTTGTATAGTGACTGTTGTGAGCCTCTTGTTAAATCACTTGTGATACAAAAGATTATCGATGTGTGTATTTGTGTAAAAGATTGTATATATATGTACATGTATATATATAACGTTAATAATTTTGTAACTAGCTACAAAAGACTGTTACTTGCTTAGCTAAACGAACTATGGGGTTCAGTTCCTGAACTGATTATATGCCTCTGTAACCCTTTCTACCACCGTTCACGGGATGGGTATTGGGTGCATAATAAAGAAATAAATTGAAATAAATAGGCTCTGAGCAACAATTACTAGACTCGAACAAGGGCCTCAGAGATAGGAGTTCGCCGTTCTACCGACCTGACCATGGATACTCACAATACGGAAGGATGTCTGGGGTACCTAACTGAGACCCAACTGAGACTTTAACCTATTCCTAGAACACCACTAAGGTATCAGGAGGTTTATATCCCCTTCATTTATGTCATATAAAATCCAACCACAATAACATGGTTAATAAAATTCCATTCAATTGGATGACAGTACTTTTGAGGGCAATACTCTATGAAATGTTTGTAACCAGGCTATTGTAGTTTCCATCTTATAGGATAAGGATGAAAGACATATAAGCCTTCTGATATCTTTCTGGTGCACTACGGATATATAATAATATTAATATTTGCGAAAATATCTATTTTGAATATTCAGGACGGTAAAATAAACGAATGTTTTTGAAGAAAATTTCAGCTTGGCTGGGCAAAATGAATGGGTTCCCAGACACGCGTACATAATTTTCTCCTAAGGTGAAAACCAAAAACATTTTCATAGGTGAGGTTTGGCAGCTGAATTAGGACAACATTTGTCCTTTGTTTATTGTGACGGGCTGTAATTGTTAGTATTTTGAGTACGTGGGTTAACGTAGCTCGTTTCGAGAAGGGTTTAAACGTAATCGATCGTATTGGCGTGTAGAACGTTCGCGATCCACGAGCGGGAACACGTCGACTGGATTATCGAACATTTGGAAAATGTTTGCGATGACGGGAATGTCTGTGGACGGGTTGAGGTCCAGTATTGACGGTTCAGTAGAGATCTGTGTTTTTTTTTAATTATAGGTTCACCTCATCTACCACACACAGGTTCAATCACAGCTACCACACACTACAACTGTCCATCTCCCACCTCAACCACTGTTCACCACCACCACCACCACCAACCACTACTGATGGTGGTGGTTTGGTTGGGTGTAAATAAGGAGTTCCACATATAGGCCAACAGGCCTCACAATATGTTATTTTTAAGGCCACTTAATTATTTTTAGGGTTTCTGAACTTGAAGCACCCTGTTAATATGTCTCCCTTCTCTCTCACTCATAGTTCTCACGCTCGTCTCCACTCTCAACTTTGCCCATGACCACCTGTAACCACCTTTTGCCTTTTCCTGACCAATTTATGTGAATTACCCATTACCAACCCTTTACACTGGTAAAACTGAGCCTGGTGGGCTGTGACTCGTGGGTTGCAGGTGGACGGTACTCGGTGTTCGGGACGGGCGAGCTCCACATTCGTCACGTCACCAAGGCTGACGAGTTCCAGTCGTACCACTGCGAGACCCAACACGTCCTCACTGACGAGACCACCATCTCTGCTGTCGCTGGCAGGTAAGCCACATTCCCCATTTTCAATTTTTGCCCTTCGCTCTCTCCTCCCCCCAGGTAACCAGGAAGGTTTGGGGAGAGGGCGGGGGAGGTTACCAAATCATTCCCCAGGTATCTGAAACCCGGTTCGGCCACCCTGCTTCCCCCAGGTCTCTGCCACCGCGTTACTAAGGCTGTCACCAGGGTTCACCAGCCAAGGCACCAGCTGTGTGCACCTACAGGTCAGTGGGTGTTTACCATGCAAGTCAGAGTATCCCAGGTCATCTAAACTCTATTATCCAAGCCACCGCTGCATTGATTTCCAGAGGGAATGAACCGCTCAACAGGTAGGCCAGTTCAGCGAGCCAAGGCAACACAGTAGCAAGGTCAGCAAGACAACATGAGCAGTACCTTAATCAGGTCGTCAAATCAGCCAGATCAACATACGAGTCAAAATCAAAGGCTGAGCCAAATCATTAAACCGTGTTAGAAGAACAGGTGAACTAAGTAGAACATTTCAAACATTATTAGTGAATAGTGAAAAGGCACAGAAAACAAATCGGGGAACAAGTAACATAAAAAAAGACATCAATCAGGTTGTGAAAAACAAACAGTTGACGATGAGTAGGTCAGAGGAGCGCAGCAGGCGAGCAGGTCAAAGGGCAGCAGGTCAACAGGGGCGAGACAGAGGACCGGCCGGCGATGACTGACGTATCAGATTGCCGGTCAATATCCATTGAGAAGACTGACATGGGTGATACGAGAGAGGCGGGCAGTCAGCCGGACAACTGCCACACGAGGCACCCACGCCTTCCTGCACCCACGCCTCCCTGGACCCACGCCTCCCTGCACCCACGCCTCCCTGCACCCACGCCTCCCTGCACCCACGCCTCCCTGCACCCACGCCACCCTGCATCCACGCCTCCCTGGACCCACGCCTCCCTGGACTCACGCCTCCCTGGACTCACGCCTCCCTGGACTCACGCCTCCCTGGACCCACGCCTCCCTGGACTCACGCCTCCCTGGACCCACGCCTCCCTGGACTCACGCCTCCCAGCACCCATCCTCCCTGCACCCACGCCACCCTGCATCCACGCCTCCCAGCACCCACGCCTCCCAGCACCCACGCCTCCCTGCACCCACGCCACCCTGCACACACGCCTCCCTGCACCCACGCCACCCTGCACCCACGCCACCCTGCACCCACGCCTCCCAGCACCCACGCCTCCCTGCACCCACGCCACCCTGCACCCATGCCTCCCTGCACCCACGCCTCCCTGGACCCACGCCTCCCTGCACCCACGCCACCCTGGACCCACGCCACCCTGCACCCACGCCTCCCTGCACCCACGCCTTCCTGGACCCACGCCTCCCTGCACCCACGCCTCCCTGGACCCACGCCTCCATGCACCCATGCCTCCCTGCACCCACGCCTCTCTGCAGCCATGCCTCCCTGGACCCACGCCTCCCTGCACCCACGCCTCCCTGGACCCACGCCTCCCTGCACCCACGCCTTCCTGGACCCACGCCTCCCTGCACCCACGCCTCCCTGCACCCACGCCTCCCTGGACCCACGCCTCCCTGGACCCACGCCTCCCTGGACCCACGCCTTCCTGTACTCACGCCTCCCTGCACCCACGCCTCCCTGCACCCACGCCTCCCTGGACCCACGCCTCCCTGCACCCACGCCTCCCTGCACCCACGCCTCCCTGCACCCACGCCTCCCTGCACCCACGCCTCCCTGCACCCACGCCTCCCTGGACCCACGCCTCCCTGCACCCACGCCTCTCTGCACCCATGCCTCCCTGGACCCACGCCTCCCTGCACCCACGCCTCCCTGGACCCACGCCACCCTGGACCCACGCCACCCTGCACCCACGCCTCCATGCACCCACGCCTCCCTGCACACACGCCTCCATGCACCCACGCCTCCCTGCACCCACGCCTCCCTGCACCCACGCCACCCTGCACCCACGCCTCCCTGCACCCACGCCACCCTGCACCCACGCCTCCCTGCACCCACGCCTCCCTGAACCCACGCCTCCCTGGACCCACGCCTCCCTGCACCCACGCCTCCCTGGACCCACGCCTCCCTGGACCCACGCCTCCCTGCACTCACGCCTCCCTGGACCCATGCCTCCCTGGACCCACGCCTCCCTGCACCCACGCCTCCCTGCACTCACGCCTCCCTGGACCCACGCCTCCCTGCACCCACGCCTCCCTGCACCCACGCCTCCCTGGACCCACGCCTCCCTGCACCCACGCCTCCCTGGACCCACGCCTCCCTGCACCCACGCCTACCTGCGCCCACGCCTCCCTGGACCCACGCCTCCCTGCACCCACGCCTCCCTGCACCCACGCCACCCTGGACCCACGCCTCCCTGGACCCACGCCTCCCTGGACCCACGCCTCCCTACACCCACGCCTCCCTGGACCCACGCCTCCCTGGACCCACGCCTCCCTGGACCCACGCCTACCTGGACCCACGCCTCCCTGCACCCACGCCTCCCTGGACCCACGCCTCCCTGCACCCACGCCTCCCTGCACCCACGCCACCCTGGACCCACGCCTCCCTGGACCCACGCCTCCCTACACCCACGCCTCTCTGCACCCACGCCTCCCTGCACCCACGCCTCTCTGCACCCACGCCTCCCTGGACCAACGCCTCCCTGGACACACGCCTCCACGGACACACGCCTCCCTGGACACACGCCTCCCTGGACACACGCCTCCCTGGACACACGCCTCCCTGGACACACGCCTCCCTGGACACACGCCTCCACGGACACACGCCTCCCTGGACACACGCCTCCACGGACACACGCCTCCCTGGACACACGCCTCCACGGACACACGCCTCCCTGGACACACGCCTCCACGGACACACGCCTCCCTGGACACACGCCTCTCTGCACCCACGCCTCCCTGGACCAACGCCTCCCTGGACACACGCCTCCACGGACACACGCCTCCCTGGACACACGCCTCCCTGGACACACGCCTCCACGGACACACGCCTCCCTGGACACACGCCTCCCTGGACACACGCCTCCACGGACACACGCCTCCCTGGACACACGCCACCACGGACACAATGCTCCCCGGATACGCGTCTCTGAACACCCGCCACATTTGACACATTTACTCCTTTGACTATAGCGACCAATAAGTGTCCTACACATGTGCTCCCACACATGTTGGATCCTGGAAGTTCTTCTTAAGTGTCCTACACATGTGCTCCCACACATGTTGGATCCTGGAAGTTCTTCTTAAGTGTCCTACACATGTGCTCCCACACATGTTGGATCCTGGAAGTTCTTCTTAAGTGTCCTACACATGTGCTCCCACACATGTTGGATCCTGGAAGTTCTTCTTAAGTGTCCTACACATGTGCTCCCACACATGTTGGATCCTGGAAGTTCTTCTTAAGTGTCCTACACATGTGCTCCCACACATGTTGGATCCTGGAAGTTCTTCTTAAGTGTCCTACACATGTGCTCCCACACATGTTGGATCCTGGAAGTTCTTCTTAAGTGTCCTACACATGTGCTCCCACACATGTTGGATCCTGGAAGTTCTTCTTAAGTGTCCTGGAAGTTCTTCTTAAGTGTCCTACACATGTGCTCCCACACATGTTGGATCCTGGAAGTTCTTCTTAAGTGTCCTACACATGTGCTCCCACACATGTTGGATCCTGGAAGTTCTTCTTAAGTGTCCTACACATGTGCTCCCACACATGTTGGATCCTGGAAGTTCTTCTTAAGTGTCCTACACATGTGCTCCCACACATGTTGGATCCTGGAAGTTCTTCTTAAGTGTCCTACACATGTGCTCCCACACATGTTGGATCCTGGAAGTTCTTCTTAAGTGTCCTACACATGTGCTCCCACACATGTTGGATCCTGGAAGTTCTTCTTAAGTGTCCTACACATGTGCTCCCACACATGTTGGATCCTGGAAGTTCTTCTTAAGTGTCCTACACATGTGCTCCCACACATGTTGGATCCTGGAAGTTCTTCTTAAGTGTCCTACACATGTGCTCCCACACATGTTGGATCCTGGAAGTTCTTCTTAAGTGTCCTACACATGTGCTCCCACACATGTTGGATCCTGGAAGTTCTTCTTAAGTGTCCTACACATGTGCTCCCACACATGTTGGATCCTGGAAGTTCTTCTTAAGTGTCCTACACATGTGCTCCCACACATGTTGGATCCTGGAAGTTCTTCTTAAGTGTCCTACACATGTGCTCCCACACATGTTGGATCCTGGAAGTTCTTCTTAAGTGTCCTACACATGTGCTCCCACACATGTTGGATCCTGGAAGTTCTTCTTAAGTGTCCTACACATGTGCTCCCACACATGTTGGATCCTGGAAGTTCTTCTTAAGTGTCCTACACATGTGCTCCCACACATGTTGGATCCTGGAAGTTCTTCTTAAGTGTCCTACACATGTGCTCCCACACATGTTGGATCCTGGAAGTTCTTCTTAAGTGTCCTACACATGTGCTCCCACACATGTTGGATCCTGGAAGTTCTTCTTAAGTGTCCTACACATGTGCTCCCACACATGTTGGATCCTGGAAGTTCTTCTTAAGTGTCCTACACATGTGCTCCCACACATGTTGGATCCTGGAAGTTCTTCTTAAGTGTCCTACACATGTGCTCCCACACATGTTGGATCCTGGAAGTTCTTCTTAAGTGTCCTACACATGTGCTCCCACACATGTTGGATCCTGGAAGTTCTTCTTAAGTGTCCTACACATGTGCTCCCACACATGTTGGATCCTGGAAGTTCTTCTTAAGTGTCCTACACATGTGCTCCCACACATGTTGGATCCTGGAAGTTCTTCTTAAGTGTCCTACACATGTGCTCCCACACATGTTGGATCCTGGAAGTTCTTCTTAAGTGTCCTACACATGTGCTCCCACACATGTTGGATCCTGGAAGTTCTTCTTAAGTGTCCTACACATGTGCTCCCACACATGTTGGATCCTGGAAGTTCTTCTTAAGTGTCCTACACATGTGCTCCCACACATGTTGGATCCTGGAAGTTCTTCTTAAGTGTCCTACACATGTGCTCCCACACATGTTGGATCCTGGAAGTTCTTCTTAAGTGTCCTACACATGTGCTCCCACACATGTTGGATCCTGGAAGTTCTTCTTAAGTGTCCTACACATGTGCTCCCACACATGTTGGATCCTGGAAGTTCTTCTTAAGTGTCCTACACATGTGCTCCCACACATGTTGGATCCTGGAAGTTCTTCTTAAGTGTCCTACACATGTGCTCCCACACATGTTGGATCCTGGAAGTTCTTCTTAAGTGTCCTACACATGTGCTCCCACACATGTTGGATCCTGGAAGTTCTTCTTAAGTGTCCTACACATGTGCTCCCACACATGTTGGATCCTGGAAGTTCTTCTTAAGTGTCCTACACATGTGCTCCCACACATGTTGGATCCTGGAAGTTCTTCTTAAGTGTCCTACACATGTGCTCCCACACATGTTGGATCCTGTGAAGTTCTTCTTAAGTGTCCTACACATGTGCTCCCACACATGTTGGATCCTGGAAGTTCTTCTTAAGTGTCCTACACATGTGCTCCCACACATGTTGGATCCTGGAAGTTCTTCTTAAGTGTCCTACACATGTGCTCCCACACATGTTGGATCCTGGAAGTTCTTCTTAAGTGTCCTACACATGTGCTCCCACACATGTTGGATCCTGGAAGTTCTTCTTAAGTGTCCTACACATGTGCTCCCACACATGTTGGATCCTGGAAGTTCTTCTTAAGTGTCCTACACATGTGCTCCCACACATGTTGGATCCTGGAAGTTCTTCTTAAGTGTCCTACACATGTGCTCCCACACATGTTGGATCCTGGAAGTTCTCCTACACATACACATGTGCTCCCACACATGTGCCCCACACAGTTGGATCCTGGAAGTTCTTCTTAAGTGTCCTACACATGTGCTCCCACACATGTTGGATCCTGGAAGTTCTTCTTAAGTGTCCTACACATGTGCTCCCACACATGTTGGATCCTGGAAGTTCTTCTTAAGTGTCCTACACATGTGCTACACATGTGCTCCCACACATGTTGGATGTTGGATCCTGGAAGTTCTTCTTAAGTGTCCTACACATGTGCTCCCACACATGTTGGATCCTGGAAGTTCTTCTTAAGTGTCCTACACATGTGCTCCCACACATGTTGGATCCTGGAAGTTCTTCTTAAGTGTCCTACACATGTGCTCCCACACATGTTGGATCCTGGAAGTTCTTCTTAAGTGTCCTACACATGTGCTCCCACACATGTTGGATCCTGGAAGTTCTTCTTAAGTGTCCTACACATGTGCTCCCACACATGTTGGATCCTGGAAGTTCTTCTTAAGTGTCCTACACATGTGCTCCCACACATGTTGGATCCTGGAAGTTCTTCTTAAGTGTCCTACACATGTGCTCCCACACATGTTGGATCCTGGAAGTTCTTCTTAAGTGTCCTACACATGTGCTCCCACACATGTTGGATCCTGGAAGTTCTTCTTAAGTGTCCTACACATGTGCTCCCACACATGTTGGATCCTGGAAGTTCTTCTTAAGTGTCCTACACATGTGCTCCCCCACATGTTGGATCCTGGAAGTTCTTCTTAAGTGTCCTACACATGTGCTCCCCACACATGTTGGATCCTGGAAGTTCTTCTTAAGTGTCCTACACATGTGCTCCCACACATGTTGGATCCTGGAAGTTCTTCTTAAGTGTCCTACACATGTGCTCCCACACATGTTGGATCCTGGAAGTTCTTCTTAAGTGTCCTACACATGTGCTCCCACACATGTTGGATCCTGGAAGTTCTTCTTAAGTGTCCTACACATGTGCTCCCACACATGTTGGATCCTTCTTAAGGAAGTGCTCCTCCCACATGTCCTGGAAGTAAGTGTCCTACACATGTGCTCCCACACATGTTGGATCCTTCTTAAGTGTCCTACAACATGTGCTCCCACATGTTGGATCCTGGAACAACAACAATGTTTTACAAATAACTTCACAACCCACTAGCAGGTCTTCAGCACCTGGTCGAGGGATTGACTCTTCCAGAGTGCGACAATCTGGACGATCCTAATCCTCCAGCTTCTGCCGGTAGAGCTCTGTGGCCACCACTCTGTGGCCACCTGCTGGAGCCGTCGTCTACACTCTGTGGCCACCTGCTGGAGCCGTCGTCTATATCACTCTCTGTGGCCACCTGCTGGAGCCGTCGTCTACACTCTGTGGCCACCTGCTGGAGCCGTCGTCTACACTCTGTGGCCACCTGCTGGAGCCGTCGTCTACACTATGTGGCCACCTGCTGGAGCCGTCGTCTATATCACTCTCTGTGGCCACCTGCTGGAGCCGTCGTCTATATCACTCTCTGTGGCCACCTGCTGGAGCCGTCGTCTATATCACTCTCTGTGGCCACCTGCTGGAGCGGTTATCTTCAGGGGGACCCACTTCCATGGACCGTCTTAGGGCTTTTTCTTGTAGTGTCCGTCAGGTGCCCCAGACGAGAACTGTTTACCTCCTTCCTTTGCTCCATAATTTATTGTGGCATTTCTCTCGCTTATTAAATTGACTAAAAACACTACATTAGGCTGTACAATATATTGCTCTGTGCCACTATATATGTCGTTGGTTCAGCATTTGGCTGTGCCACAACATATGACTTAGCCACAATATATAGATGTTTCACAACATATGGCTGTTCTACCACGTAAATCTGTTGGTAGGGGAAGGCACAGAGGATTGTTGCATCTTTGCCCTTGAGTGACAGCTTTGAGTTCAAGGCAACTATTCTACCTGGGAATGAATTTGTTCCTGAGGCATATCAACTGATGTTTAAACATCTGAGGCGAAGGCCAGAGCAGACTTTGTTAGGATTTTCACAAGAGAAATGTAATATGTTTAATAAGTGGTTAGATGCTGGAAAGATTAAGGATCTGGACGAACCCCTCTCTCCAGTATGCAATATTCTGGGTAGAGAGAGTTTATGTAGCAATTTAGCTAGAGAGAGAATTTTATAGAAAGAAGGGGGTGTAGATATTTGTTCCTGGGAAGCGGCCGTCAGCTAACTGCTGGCAGACCGTAGCTTGCTGAAATCCCTATGAAAGTAGTGCCTGCAGTCAGGAGTTGATTATGAATTACGAGTAGAATGTATATACATGTTTTGTAAAAGAAAAATGGACTCTTTTTATGACCTACCGGAAGAGTAATGCTAAATAGGAATATTTAGAGATTAATCAGAGATGACTGGATATTTGGTATTAAGGGGCAGAAGTGACAGGCCGTCCTCAGTGACTAGACCATAAGATGGAAGACAGGGAAGAGGTTTTAGCGAGTCTCACTGGCTTAGAGGTTCACCCTCCGCTACACAGCCAGATAAGCCACAAATTTACATTTATCTAAAGTGCAGGAGATGATTGGGATTTTTGTTTGTTTTGATGTTTAGAGAAACAACAGAGTAGGGATATAGAGAGAGTCCAAGTCTCCTAATATGTTTCTATTGATCTAACAATGCCTGAGTGGATAATCCTTAAACCGTAAAATTACCAGGCTAAGGTGTCTAGGTTGAATATCTTGACTAGTATTAATGACAGAGTATTAAGGGAAAGTCCTTGACATGCCTCAACATGGCTGTGCCACAACATGGCTGTGCCACAACAAGGCTGTGCCACAACATGGCTGTGCCCACAACATGGCTGTGCCCACAACATGGCTGTGCCCACAACATGGCTGTGCCACAACAAGGCTGTGCCACAACAAGGCTGTGCCACAACAAGGCTGTGCCACAACATGGCTGTGCCACAACATGGCTGTGCCACAACATGGCTGTGCCACAACATGGCTGTGCCCACAACATATATGAATGTGTCTCAACATATAACTTGTCTCCGGCAGGTTGATGGTGAACGAGCCGAGGTCGTCTGTGCCGCCAAGGATCACAGACTCCCGCTCCGGTGTCACCGCCACCATCAGACGGACAGTGGAGCTGCCGTGCGCCGCCCAGGGCTTCCCCATCCCCCACTACCAGTCAGTCCCTCCTCCAGTTACCTCCTTCAGTCTGTAGTCACCATCCCCCACTACCAGTCAGTCCCTCCTCCAGTTACCTCCTTCAGTCTGTAGTCACCATCCCCCACTACCAGTCAGTCCCTCCTCCAGTTACCTCCTTCAGTCTGTAGTCCCCATCCCCCACTACCAGTCAGTCCCTCCTCCAGTTACCTCCTTCAGTCTGTAGTCACCATCCCCCACTACCAGTCAGTCCCTCCTCCAGTTACCTCCTTCAGTCTGTAGTCCCCATCCCCCACTACCAGTCAGTCCCTCCTCCAGTTACCTCCTTCAGTCTGTAGTCCCCATCCCCCACTACCAGTCAGTCCCTCCTCCAGTTACCTCCTTCAGTCTGTAGTCACCATCCCCCACTACCAGTCAGTCCCTCCTCCAGTTACCTCCTTCAGTCTGTAGTCACCATCCCCCACTACCAGTCAGTCCCTCCTCCAGTTCCCTCCTTCAGTCTGTAGTCACCATCCCCCACTACCAGTCAGTCCCTCCTCCAGTTACCTCCTTCAGTCTGTAGTCACCATCCCCCACTACCAGTCAGTCCCTCCTCCAGTTACCTCCTTCAGTCTGTAGTCACCATCCCCCACTACCAGTCAGTCCCTCCTCCAGTTACCTCCTTCAGTCTGTAGTCACCATCCCCCACTACCAGTCAGTCCCTCCTCCAGTTACCTCCTTCAGTCTGTAGTCACCATCCCCCACTACCAGTCAGTCCCTCCTCCAGTTACCTCCTTCAGTCTGTAGTCACCATCCCCCACTACCAGTCAGTCCCTCCTCCAGTTACCTCCTTCAGTCTGTAGTCACCATCCCCCACTACCAGTCAGTCCCTCCTCCAGTTACCTCCTTCAGTCTGTAGTCACCATCCCCCACTACCAGTCAGTCCCTCCTCCAGTTACCTCCTTCAGTCTGTAGTCACCATCCCCCACTACCAGTCAGTCCCTCCTCCAGTTACCTCCTTCAGTCTGTAGTCACCATCCCCCACTACCAGTCAGTCCCTCCTCCAGTTACCTCCTTCAGTCTGTAGTCACCATCCCCCACTACCAGTCAGTCCCTCCTCCAGTTACCTCCTTCAGTCTGTAGTCACCATCCCCCACTACCAGTCAGTCCCTCCTCCAGTTACCTCCTTCAGTCTGTAGTCACCATCCCCCACTACCAGTCAGTCCCTCCTCCAGTTACCTCCTTCAGTCTGTAGTCACCATCCCCCACTACCAGTCAGTCCCTCCTCCAGTTACCTCCTTCAGTCTGTAGTCACCATCCCCCACTACCAGTCAGTCCCTCCTCCAGTTACCTCCTTCAGTCTGTAGTCACCATCCCCCACTACCAGTCAGTCCCTCCTCCAGTTCCCTCCTTCAGTCTGTAGTCACCATCCCCCACTACCAGTCAGTCCCTCCTCCAGTTCCCTCCTTCAGTCTGTAGTCACCATCCCCCACTACCAGTCAGTCCCTCCTCCAGTTCCCTCCTTCAGTCTGTAGTCACCATCCCCCACTACCAGTCAGTCCCTCCTCCAGTTCCCTCCTTCAGTCTGTAGTCACCATCCCCCACTACCAGTCAGTCCCTCCTCCAGTTCCCTCCTTCAGTCTGTAGTCACCATCCCCCACTACCAGTCAGTCCCTCCTCCAGTTACCTCCTTCAGTCTGTAGTCACCATCCCCCACTACCAGTCAGTCCCTCCTCCAGTTCCCTCCTTCAGTCTGTAGTCACCATCCCCCACTACCAGTCAGTCCCTCCTCCAGTTCCCTCCTTCAGTCTGTAGTCACCATCCCCCACTACCAGTCAGTCCCTCCTCCAGTTCCCTCCTTCAGTCTGTAGTCACCATCCCCCACTACCAGTCAGTCCCTCCTCCAGTTCCCTCCTTCAGTCTGTAGTCACCATCCCCCACTACCAGTCAGTCCCTCCTCCAGTTCCCTCCTTCAGTCTGTAGTCACCATCCCCCACTACCAGTCAGTCCCTCCTCCAGTTACCTCCTTCAGTCTGTAGTCACCATCCCCCACTACCAGTCAGTCCCTCCTCCAGTTACCTCCTTCAGTCTGTAGTCACCATCCCCCACTACCAGTCAGTCCCTCCTCCAGTTACCTCCTTCAGTCTGTAGTCACCATCCCCCACTACCAGTCAGTCCCTCCTCCAGTTACCTCCTTCAGTCTGTAGTCACCATCCCCCACTACCAGTCAGTCCCTCCTCCAGTTACCTCCTTCAGTCTGTAGTCACCATCCCCCACTACCAGTCAGTCCCTCCTCCAGTTACCTCCTTCAGTCTGTAGTCACCATCCCCCACTACCAGTCAGTCCCTCCTCCAGTTACCTCCTTCAGTCTGTAGTCACCATCCCCCACTACCAGTCAGTCCCTCCTCCAGTTACCTCCTTCAGTCTGTAGTCACCATCCCCCACTACCAGTCAGTCCCTCCTCCAGTTACCTCCTTCAGTCTGTAGTCCCCATCCCCCACTACCAGTCAGTCCCTCCTCCAGTTACCTCCTTCAGTCTGTAGTCACCATCCCCCACTACCAGTCAGTCCCTCCTCCAGTTACCTCCTTCAGTCTGTAGTCCCCATCCCCCACTACCAGTCAGTCCCTCCTCCAGTTACCTCCTTCAGTCTGTAGTCACCATCCCCCACTACCAGTCAGTCCCTCCTCCAGTTACCTCCTTCAGTCTGTAGTCACCATCCCCCACTACCAGTCAGTCCCTCCTCCAGTTACCTCCTTCAGTCTGTAGTCACCATCCCCCACTACCAGTCAGTCCCTCCTCCAGTTCCCTCCTTCAGTCTGTAGTCACCATCCCCCACTACCAGTCAGTCCCTCCTCCAGTTACCTCCTTCAGTCTGTAGTCACCATCCCCCACTACCAGTCAGTCCCTCCTCCAGTTACCTCCTTCAGTCTGTAGTCACCATCCCCCACTACCAGTCAGTCCCTCCTCCAGTTACCTCCTTCAGTCTGTAGTCACCATCCCCCACTACCAGTCAGTCCCTCCTCCAGTTCCCTCCTTCAGTCTGTAGTCACCATCCCCCACTACCAGTCAGTCCCTCCTCCAGTTACCTCCTTCAGTCTGTAGTCACCATCCCCCACTACCAGTCAGTCCCTCCTCCAGTTCCCTCCTTCAGTCTGTAGTCACCATCCCCCACTACCAGTCAGTCCCTCCTCCAGTTACCTCCTTCAGTCTGTAGTCACCATCCCCCACTACCAGTCAGTCCCTCCTCCAGTTCCCTCCTTCAGTCTGTAGTCACCATCCCCCACTACCAGTCAGTCCCTCCTCCAGTTCCCTCCTTCAGTTTGTAGTCACCATCCCCCACTACAGTCAGTCCCTCCTCCAGTTCCCTCCTTCAGTCTGTAGTCACCATCCCCCACTACCAGTCAGTCCCTCCTCCAGTTACCTCCTTCAGTCTGTAGTCACCATCCCCCACTACCAGTCAGTCCCTCCTCCAGTTACCTCCTTCAGTCTGTAGTCACCATCCCCCACTACCAGTCAGTCCCTCCTCCAGTTACCTCCTTCAGTCTGTAGTCCCCATCCCCCACTACCAGTCAGTCCCTCCTCCAGTTCCCTCCTTCAGTCTGTAGTCACCATCCCCCACTACCAGTCAGTCCCTCCTCCAGTTACCTCCTTCAGTCTGTATTCACCTAGTTGTGCTTGCGGGGGTTGAGCTTTGCTCTTTCGGCCCGTCTCTCAACTGTGTATCAACTGTTTCTACTACTACTACTACTACTACTACTACTACTATTTTATCCCCCACACATACATACACCAGGAAGCAGCCCGTGACAGCTGACTAACTCCCAGGTACACATTTACTGCTAGGTAACAGGGGCATAGGGCGAAAGAAACTCTGCCCATCTGTGGCGCAGTAGTAGTGGTGGTGGTGGCTGTTGTTATTTAGTGGTAGATATCGTTATCTTGAGGTTATCTTGAGATGATTTCGGGGCTTTAGTGTCCCCGCGGCCCGGTCCTCGACCAGGCCTCCACCCCCAGGAAGCAGCCCGTGACAGCTGACTAACTCCCAGGTACCTATTTACTGCTAGGTAACAGGGGCATTCAGGGTGAAAGAAACTTTGCCCATTTGCATCTGCCTCGTGCGGGAATCGAACCCGCGCCACAGAATTACGAATCCTGCGCGCTATCCACCAGGCTACGAGTCGTTGTAACTTTTATTGTCGTAACTTTTATTGTTCTTGGTAGATGTGGTCGTTGTTGTTTAGTGGTAGGTGTAGATGTGTTGACTGTTGTTGTTGTTGATTAAACGGTAGATGTAGATGTGTTGACTGTTATTATTGTTTAGGTAGACGTAGTTGCATGAATTGTTGTTGATGGTTTTACTGGTATTTACAGTTGTAATAACTTGTTGTTTAGTGGTAGATGTAGGGGTAGACGCTGTTGTTAAGTGGTAGATGCTGTCGTTCAGTGGTAGATGTAGGGGTAGACGCTGTTGTTTAGTGGTAGATGCTGTCGTTCAGTGGTAGATGTAGGGGTAGACGCTGTTGTTTAGTGGTAGATGTTGGGGTAGATGGTGTTGTTTAATGGTAGATGTAGGGGTAGATGCTGTTGTTTAGTGGTAGATGTTGGGGTAGATGCTGTTGTTTAGTTTTAGATGTTGGGGTAGATGGTGTTGTTTAATGGTAGATGTAGGGGTAGATGCTGTTGTTTAGTGGTAGATGGTGTTGTTTAGTGGTAGATGTAGGGGTAGATGCTGTTGTTTAGTGGTAGATGTTGGGGTAGACGCTGTTGTTTAATGGTAGATGTAGGGGTAGACGCTGTTGTTTAGTGGTAGATGTAGGGGTAGATGGTGTTGTTTAATGGTAGATGTAGGGGTAGACGCTGTTGTTTAATGGTAGATGTAGGGGTAGACGCTGTTGTTTAGTGGTAGATGTAGGGGTAGACACTGTTGTTTAGTAGTAGATATAGGGGTAGATGCTGTTGTTTAGCGGTAGATGTTGGGATAGATGGTATTGTTTAGTGGTACATGTAGGGGTAGATGCTGTTGTTTACTGGTAGATGTTGTTGTAGATGCTGCTGTTTGGTGGTAGATGTAGGGGTAGACGCTGTTGTTTAGGGGTAGAGGCTGTAGTTTAGGGGTAGAGGCTGTTGTTTAGAGGTAGGGGTAGATGCTGTTGTTTAGTAGTAGATGTAGGGGTAGACGCTGTTGTTTAGTAGTAGATGTAGGGGTAGACGCTGTTTTTTAGTGGTAGATGTAGGGGTAGACGCTGTTCTTTAGTAGTAGATGTAGGGGTAGACGCTGTTGTTTACTGGTAAATGCTGTTGTTTAGTGGTAGATGTAGGGGTAGACACTGTTTAGTGGTAGATGCTGTTGTTTAGTGGTAGATGTTGGGGTAGATGGTATTGTTTAGTGGTAGATGTAGGGGTAGATGCTGTTGTTTAGTGGTAGATGCTGTTGTTTACTGGTAGATGTAAGGGTAGACGCTATTGTTTAGTGGTAGATGTAGGGGTAGACGCTGTTGTTTGGTGGTAGATGTAGGGGTAGACGCTGTTGTTTAGTGGTAGATGTAGGGGTAGACGCTGTTCTTTAGTGGTAGATGTAGAAGTAGAACAGTTGTTTAGTGGTAGATGTAGGGTAGATGTTGTTTGGTGGTACATGTAAGGGTAGATGTTGTTTAGTGGTAGATGTAGGGGTAGACGCTGTTGTTTAGTAGTAGTTGTAGGGGTAGATGTTGTTGTTTAGTGGTAGACGTAGGGTAGATGTTGTTGTTTAGTGGTACTTATAAGGGTAGATGTTGCTGTTTAGTTGTTTAGTGGTAGATGTAGGGGTAGACGCTGCTGTTTAGTGGTAGATGTATGGGTAGACGCTGCTGTTTAGTGGTAGATGTAGGGGTAGACGCTGCTGTTTAGTGGTAGATGTAGGGGTAGACGCTGTTGCTTAGTAGTAGATATAGGGGTAGACGCTGTTGTTTAGTAGTAGATATAGGGGTAGACGCTGTTGTTTAGTAGTAGATATAGGGGTAGACGCTGTTGTTTAGTGGTAGATGTAGGGGTAGACGCTGTTGTTTAGTGGTAGATGTAGGGGTAGACGCTGTTGTTTAGTGGTAGATGTAGGGGTAGACGCTGTTGTTTAGTGGTAGATGTAGGGGTAGACGCTGTTGTTTAGTGGTAGATGTAGGGGTAGACGCTGTTGTTTAGTGGTAGATGTAGGGGTAGACGCTGTTATTTAGTGGTAGATGTAGGGGTAGACGCTGTTGTTTAGTTGACTCTCCCACCGGTGACTACGCGGCTGACAGCTTAACTTTTGCAAGTTTTAGCCCATTACCAGTCAGTATACAGTCACCAGCAGTATACAGTCACCAGCAGTATACAGTCACCAGCAGTATACAGTCACCAGCAGTATACAGTCACCAGTCAGTATACAGTCACCAGCAGTATACAGTCACCAGCAGTATACAGTCACCAGCAGTATACAGTCACCAGCAGTATACAGTCACCAGCAGTATACAGTCACCAGCAGTATACAGTCACCAGCAGTATACAGTCACCAGCAGTATACAGTCACCAGCAGTATACAGTCACCAGCAGTATACAGTCACCAGCAGTATACAGTCACCAGCAGTATACAGTCACCAGCAGTATACAGTCACCAGCAGTATACAGTCACCAGCAGTATACAGTCACCAGTCAGTATACAGTCACCAGTCAGTATACAGTCACCAGCAGTATACAGTCACCAGTCAGTATACAGTCACCAGTCAGTATACAGTCACCAGCAGTATACAGTCACCAGCAGTATACAGTCACCAGCAGTATACAGTCACCAGCAGTATACAGTCACCAGCAGTATACAGTCACCAGCAGTATACAGTCACCAGCAGTATACAGTCACCAGCAGTATACAGTCACCAGCAGTATACAGTCACCAGCAGTATACAGTCACCAGTCAGTATACAGTCACCAGTCAGTATACAGTCACCAGCAGTATACAGTCACCAGCAGTATACAGTCACCAGCAGTATACAGTCACCAACAGTATACAGTCACCAGCAGTATACAGTCACCAGCAGTATACAGTCACCAGTCAGTATACAGTCACCAGTCAGTATACAGTCACCAGCAGTATACAGTCACCAGTCAGTATACAGTCACCAGTCAGTATACAGTCACCAGCAGTATACAGTACAAAAAACACTTACAATCAGCAGTCAGTTCATTCTTCCACCAGTTCCACACACTCGGTAGTTTGTGTCAGTCATCATCAACCCAACAGTCAGGAGCCAGTTAGTAGCGGCACTCCTCACCAGTCACTGTCCTGCTCTAACAGGGTCCAGCAGGTCCAGTCACTTTAACATCAGTCCGTCGCATGTAATTATTTTCTTTTGAAATTTCACCGCCGCTGTTGTTCGTATTGTTGTAAACTAATTCATTAATTTCTAGTATAACATTGCTGTCAGTTACCGTGTGTGTGTGTGTGTGTGTGTGTGTGTGTGTGTGTGTGTGTGTGTGTGTGTGTGTGTGTGTGTGTGTGTGTGTGTGTGTGTGTGTGTGTGTGTGTTTACTAGTTGTGTTTTGCGGGGGTTGAGCTTTGCTCTTTCGGCCCGCCTCTCAACTGTCAATCAACTGTTTTTACTAACTACTTTTTTTTCCACACCACACACACACCCCAGGAAGCAGCCCGTTACAGCTGACTAACTCCCAGGTACCTATTTACTGCTAGGTAACAGGGGCACTTAGGGTGAAAGAAACTTTGCCCATTTGTTTTTGCCTCGTGCGGGAATCGAACCCGCGCCACAGAATTACGAGTCCTGCGCGCTATCCACCAGGCTACGAGGCCCCTCCACCAGGCTACGAGGCCCCTGTGTGTCTGTGTGTGTGTGTGTGTGTGTGTGTGTGTGTGTGTGTGTGTGTGTGTGTGTGTGTGTGTGTGTGTGTGTGTCCGGCCGTTCTCTCTCTTCCTCTCTCTCTCAACCTGAATTTAATATACAAATTATGACACCTTGTTGGCGTTTTAGTGCGGCCTGTCAGTGTATATTTACTAATGCCATTTTTTCAGCAATTCTAATCAATCATATTTTTTACCCAGTAAATCTGTCATTAAAACTATATATAAATTTGTATATGTATTAAAAATTCATCCATTGAACTATTGGCAATCTATTTTTGTATTAATTAGAATTTTAAGTTCATAGAGAAGTGAGTGAAGTCCATCTAAGGTGTTGGGTGACCCGACAGGTGGCATCGGATGTTTGGGGAGGAGGAGGTGGCGGTGGTTCAAGACGGGCGCATCCAGCAGGTGGGCGGGTCGCTCCTCATCCGTCAGGTCACCGCCGCAGACGCTGGCAGGTAGGAATTACATCAAGGGTGTCGCGGCTGACGCCCCCAGACACCAGGTAAACAAATGGGTCCCACGTCTGATATTGTTCTGAAGATCAGTAGTGTACTGACACCTACATGGTCGGGGCACCTAGGTGTACCTGGGGTGTGGTGACACCCACATGGTCGGGGCCCCTAGGTGTACCTGGGGTGTGGTGACACCCACATGGTCGGGGCCCCTAGGTGTACCTGGGGTGTGGTGACACACACATGGTCGGGGCCCCTAGGTGTACCTGGGGTGTGGTGACACCCACATGGTCGGGGCCCCTAGGTGTACCTGGGGTGTGGTGACACCCACATGGTCGGGGCCCCTAGGTGTACCCGGGGTGTGGTGACACCCACATGGTCGGGGCACCTAGGTGTACCCGGGGTGTGGTGACACCCACATGGTCGGGGCCCCTAGGTGTACCCGGGGTGTGGTGACACCCACATGGTCGGGGCCCCTAGGTGTACCCGGGGTGTGGTGACACCCACATGGTCGGGGCACCTAGGTGTACCCGGGGTGTGGTGACACCCACATGGTCGGGGCCCCTAGGTGTACCCGGGGTGTGGTGACACCCACATGGTCGGGGCACCTAGGTGTACCCGGGGTGTGGTGACACACACATGGTCGGGGCACCTAGGTGTACCCGGGGTGTGGTGACACACACATGGTCGGGGCACCTAGGTGTACCCGGGGTGTGGTGACACACACATGGTCGGGGCACCTAGGTGTACCCGGGGTGTGGTGACACCCACACGGATGGGGGGCATTTATGAAGGGCAGGATGTCAAGAGGGTCAAGGTGGCCGGTTGAGCAGGGTGTCCACAGGGGGAAAGGGTGTCCAATGAGACAGAGAGGGCAATGTGTGTGATGCGTAGGCGTTCCTAAGTCACAGCAACCCTTCTCCGTCCCCCCCATCCGTCCTCCCCACCATTTCCTCCCTCCCCTGTCCCCCCTGGTCCTCCCCACCATTTCCTCCCTCCCCTGTCCCCCCTGGTCCTCCCCACCATTTCCTCCCTCCCCTGTCCCCCCTGGTCCTCCTCATCATTCCCAACTCCTCCGCCCAATGCGTTCTCTGATGTTCCCGTCAGAAAAAAGGGAACATCAAATGATCTGATGTTCTCATCACTGAAAAATAAGAAGGATTAACAAAAAACGAAATGAAAAACATTATAAATAAAAAATTAATCTATACTCATGAAATGCAATGTCACACAAAATCTATATAAATAAAAATGGAAATGTTCGTTTGTTCAAAATCGCTAATCTCAGGTTTTTATATACCTACTATATAGATGCCACACCTGTGACAGGTAAAAACATGCATTTTTTTTTAAAAGCACCATCTGTTGCACGTTAAAGCAAGAATAACATGAGTATCAAGTTTGTTTATACAGTCATATGGTCTAGTGGTTAAGGTACCAGGTTAATGGTCTAGTGGTTAAGGTACCAGGTACAGCAAGGTGCATAACGCTGCTGGCTATCTGGGATCGAATCTTTCTGCGGGATGGATTTTTTCAGTTGCATATTGGCTTGGGGACCTTTGCTTAATTAGCAAATAGGCAATATTTGCCTATTAGGCAAATTGGGCCTTGCATAGTAGGCCGAGAAGTGCATTCTGGCTACTATATATATATATATATATATATATATATATATATATATATATATATATATATATATATATATATATATATATATATATATATATATATATATATATATATAATTAGGAGGACCAACGCTAGTAGGAATACATATATTTTGACGAAATTTTGTAGTCTTTTTCCCATCTTCGGAACAATTAAAAATAATTTTTTTTTTTAATAAATGTTGGACCAAATTACATTCATTTTTTTATCCGATATTAATAATTAATTTGCACTCAAATATACAAAAATATATTAGAGAGAATATATAATTAAAAAAGTAAGTCTATGTGTATTGAAATCGATAGTTAAAACAGGTGGTAAATATAGATATATTATGAAAATAACATATATATTCATAAGGTGTCTAGTGCGTAGCATCATAAGGTTAAAGGAGCGGTGATCCTTAAGACCTCCGTAGCACTCCTCCGCTCAATGTCTTACAAGTAACTGATCCGTATTTTGAAATACAAGTGTCGGGCATCGAGCACGGTCTTGCACATGCGCGTGATGCATGGCAACGGAAAATGACGACTTGTTAATTAGGCAACACCTTTTGGGCCATTCCCTCTATGGACACCCTGCCCCTCTATGGACACCCTGCCCCTTTCTGGACACCCTGCCCCTCTCTGGACACCCTGCCCCTCTGGACACCCTGCATCTCTCTGGACACCCTGCCCCTCTGGACACCCTGCCCCTCTATGGACACCCTGCCCCTTTCTGGACACCCTGCCCCTCTGGACACCCTGCCCCTCTCTGGACACCCTGCCCCTCTGGACACCCTGCCCCTCTGGACACCCGGCCCCTCTGGACACCCTGCATCTCTCTGGACACCCTGCCCCTCTGGACACCCTGCCCCTCTGGACACCCTGCCCCTCTGGACACCCTGCCCCTCTGGACACCCTGCATCTCTCTGGACACCCTGCCCCTCTGGACACCCGGCCCCTCTGGACACCCTGCCCCTCTGGACACCCGGTCCCTTTGGACACCCTGCCCCTCTGGACACCCGGCCCCTCTGGACACCCTGCCCATCTGGACACCCTGCCCCTCTGGACACCCTGCCCCTCTGGTTACCCTTCCCCTCTGGACACCCTGCCCCTCTATGGACACCCTGCCCCTCTGGACACCCTGCATCTCTCTGGACACCCTGCCCCTCTGGACACCCGGCCCCTCTGGACACCCGGTCCCCTCTGGACACCCGGCCCCTCTGGACACCCGGCCCCTCTGGACACCCTGCCCCTCTGGACACCCGGCCCCTCTGGACACCCTGCCCCTCTGGACACCCTGCCCGTCTCTGGACACCCTGCTCCTCTGGACACCCGGCCCCCTCTGGACACCCGGCCCCTCTGGACACCCGGCCCCTCTGGACACCCTGCCCATCTGAACACCCGGCCCCCTGGACACCCGGCCCCTCTGGACACCCGGCCCCTCTGGACACCCGGCCCCTCTGGACACCCGGCCCCTCTGGACACCCGGCCCCTCTGGACTCCCGGCCCCTCTGGACTCCCGGCCCCTCTGGACACATTGTCCACTATGAACATCCTTTTCCTTTGGACACTCTTTCATTGTGAACGCTTAGCTGACCCTCTGAGGGGCGTCTCAAGACGTCGGACCGAGTCAGCTTTTCCGAGCAAATTTATAGGTGAATTCCAACACAAGCTGCAAACTGCAAATTTTCCAACGAGTTTTTCCCTGACATGCATTTTTACGATCCTGTGACTGCCGTGTTTATGTTTGTGGAGGTCTGAGAGGAGTGTGTTCGTCGTGTTCTTATGCCTGACGCGTGTGTTCGTTGTGTTCTTATGCCTGACGCGTGTGTTCGTTGTGTTCTTATGCCTGACGCGTGTGTTCGTCGTGTTCTTATGCCTGACGCGTGTGTTCGTTGTGTTCTTATGCCTGACGCGTGTGTTCGTTGTGTTCTTATGCCTGACGCGTGTGTTCGTTGTGTTCTTATGCCTGACGCGTGTGTTCGTTGTGTTCTTATGCCTGACGCGTGTGTTCGTCGTGTTCTTATGCCTGACGCGTGTGTTCGTTGTGTTCTTATGCCTGACGCGTGTGTTCGTTGTGTTCTTATGCCTGACGCGTGTGTTCGTCGTGTTCTTATGCCTGACGCGTGTGTTCGTCGTGTTCTTATGCCTGACGCGTGTGTTCGTTGTGTTCTTATGCCTGACGCGTGTGTTCGTTGTGTTCTTATGCCTGACGCGTGTGTTCGTTGTGTTCTTATGCCTGACGCGTGTGTTCGTCGTGTTCTTATGCCTGACGCGTGTGTTCGTCGTGTTCTTATGCCTGACGCGTGTGTTCGTTGTGTTCTTATGCCTGACGCGTGTGTTCGTTGTGTTCTTATGCCTGACGCGTGTGTTCGTCGTGTTCTTATGCCTGACGCGTGTGTTCGTCGTGTTCTTATGCTTGACGCGTGTGTTCGTTGTGTTCTTATGCCTGACGCGTGTGTTCGTTGTGTTCTTATGCCTGACGCGTGTGTTCGTCAAGGCCCGTCGAAACTCGTCATGTTTGATATTTGTCAAAATGCTGCGTTGACATTTAATTATTTGTTTTGGTTTTTACAGTTGCTTAATGTAGCGTCGATGCGTGTGGATGTTTGAGCGTGTGACGTGCATGACTGGCTCAATTCCTGTTATAATTAAATATTATTTGTTGAGAGGCGAGACCCTGCTCGCTCATACACACACACGCGCGCGCGAGCCCGTACTCGAGCCTGCGAGCCCCTACGCACGCACGTGAGCACAATCACACTCAGAAGCATGATTGTATAAGGATGTGAGGACAAGGAGCCAGAAGGTGAGGATGGAGTGAAGGAACCGTTGTCTACCACTTGGACCATCGGGGATCGAACCTTGACCCTGCAGGAAGCGAGACAGTCTCTGTACTATCCAGAGTAAGGGACTGAGTAGAGTAACATGCAGATTACAGCAGATGAGACAAAGAAGTGCAGAGGAAAACTTTTTCCAGTTAATCGCAATGCTTCGGTGGTGAAGGGAGAATTACCTGACAGCTAGAAGACATCGTATTGCATCCATATATATATATATATATATATATATATATATATATATATATATATATATATATATATAATATATATATATATATATATATATATATATATATATATATATATATATATATATATATATATATATATATATATATATATATATATATATATATATATATATATATATATATATATATATATATATATATATATATATATATATATATATATATATATATATATATATATATATATATATATATATATATATATATATATATATATATATATATATATATATATATATATATATATATATATATAT